CTGGCGGTTCAAACCTACCAGCCACTCCTCGGAAGGAAGATGGGGCAATCTACTTCCGCAGTGATACTGCCTCGGAAACCCAAGGAGGGGTCGCTGAGTCGGGTCCGACTCTACGGCACATAACAACAACACAAGTCTCTGTAGCTTAGAAACCTCTTTGTAAAGTAAGCTGTTTCCTACAATAACATTTGTAGGAGCATCCATTTCAGTGCATACAGTAGGGCCTCAATAAATACTCATTGGTCTTAACAAGGGGAATGACAAGAAGATAATTGTGGGATAGATCAGGATGACGTTCTAACAACTGCAAGCTCATGATGCTTTTGCAAAGACCAGTCTAGGGTGCATAGGAAATGTCACTCAGCAAGTATTAGGTTAAAGAACTATTTTGCCTCAGTGGTTAAGGCAGAGCCTCCCTCAAAAAAAAAAGAAAATCAAATTCCAGAAACACAAAGTGTTTGTCAAGGGTTAAACAAGATTCTAGATATTTAGCCTCAAATGCAAGTTAACCCTGCATTTGTGCATCATGCGTATTAATTCTAGTGAGAATACATGAAACAGTGTTAATCTCCTGAAATCACAGTCTGATATGAAACAAATCATTCTTAAATTCTAGATTTCACTAAGTATTTTTAAATCTATATAATAACAAGCATAAACCAAGAAAATCTTTCCATGGAAGTCTTATGTTGGTACTGAAAACTTCACTTCCGAGGTGCTATAAACAAAAAAGGAAGGAAAAAATCCAAGGACCGGGTAAGTGATTCCCACCATTCAATTCAGAAGTGTAAATCATCTTTCTTTTCTGGCGACCTGGGGATGTATCCAGGTTCTTGCTTATCAACTGCAAATGGCAGGGAAAAACACTTACAAAATGTGTCATCTATTTCTTAGCTCTGTAAAGCATGTGTGCTATCTACTTCAACATGCTAAAAGTGCTTTCTGTATTTTTCTATCCTGACCTCCTATTTGTGCAAAATTTCTTTAGAATTGCTCTCCTGTGTATGAGAGAGGAGGAAAGAAGAACGACACCAGAGCACAAAAGACAAATTTTCTGAAGCACAAAGGCTTTTCTTAGGTCTACTCTAAAGGGTGCTTGCAAAGTGGAAATGACACAAATCATGAGCAAACTCACAGTTCGAATAAGTGCCTGCTCACTTCTGCATCAACCGCACTGAGAGGGTCGTCCAGAAGGTAGATGTCTGCATCTTGATACACTGCTCTGAAAAAAGTAGAGATATCAGACAGGAAAATGCTTCACGCTTCCCGACTCTTGCCTAACGAATTATGACAGCAGTGAACGATTTGGATGTTCATTACAAAAGAGGAAACAGAACAATCCAAGACAAGGGCTTCACACAGTACCCAACACACAGTAAGTGTGTTCCATGCATTCACCCCATTACAAGCTACGTAAGAGGCATGCAGAACAGCAATTTTAACAAGTTTGCTTCGATTCAACATATTATCTAGTCATGAAAACCAAAAGGTGCAAGAGAACTTTATAAATATCTCCTGTATTCAAAGAGAAACTTCAGACAGCTTTTGTGACATGCATATGTGTGCTCAGCAATTGATCGTCATCCTCTCTGCTCCATAATGACATTAATGTAAGGGCCCAACACGAATTGGTCTTTGAGTGATGGGGCATTTGTGTTGACTCACATAGATGGGGTGGCAAATATTTGTGGGTTCAGGATGGGAGCTGGGGCAGCAGGAACAGGGAGGCTGAGCTATGCATGATGCCCTGAGGGAGTGGGCAATCGCTATTGCAGCCCTGGTGCCCTGTCACTGACATGCAATTTACCTTGCCAGGTTGATCCGTGCTTTCTGTCCTCCACTCAGTGTGGCTCCCCGATCTCCTATCACAGTTAGATCGCCATCCTCCAAAAGCTGTAAATCCTTTATGAAGAAAGGGAAAACTGAAAATGCATTCACCTATTGTCATCCTAAACTTCTAGCGTTAATTCTTGAGGAATATACATGCATTTGATCAAGAGCAATGAATATATTCCAGAGTGGCTAAATTATAACCTTGAACCTTTCAGAAAATTCTTAGGGACTTTTGGTTCATTTCTATACTTTTTTGAAGATATACACATCTAACCAATATAACAGGTATTTACTTGAACATCCAATATATGTCAAGCATGGTCTGGGGACAGAGAATAGCAGTGAACAACATTCTTGGAACTTCCATGGCAAGAAACGACAACACAAAAGCAAGCAATTATGAATGAAAACGGTGATATGTATTAAAAGAAAAAAATAAAGCAGGCTTGGGGGAAGAGAGAAGGATAGCAGAAAAGTCCATTTTATATTAGAGGGTCAGGAAGGTCTCTGATCAGAGGGGACTTAAGCACAGACCTGTCAAAGGTGGAGTAAGCCAAGGCTACGGCGCAGCTTCATGCCCAGGCTGCTCAAACAATAGCAAGGAGGCCAGTACAGCTGGGGCAGAGTGAGTAAACAATGGTGGAGATGAGCGCAGAGGTAGACAAGATGAGCCATGGTTAATGTCACTGAACATTCAATGATGTTGAATTGGCAAATGTTGTGTTATCTATATTTTTAGATAACAATTAAAAGAAAAAAGCTTATGGAGGAGGCAGGAAGGGAGGGGGAAAAAAAAACAACATGCCAAGATTTCATTCCAGATGGAATGGGAGGGGAAGCTGGGGGAGCAATAACCCAATCTGACTTAAGTCCATGAAGAATCACTCTTGCCTCTGTCTGGAAAACAAACTACAAGGGGATAAGGATGAAAGTAAGATACAGGCTAGGCCAAACAAAATACCGGCATGTGAGTTAAACATTTACCTCAAGTAGATACACTCCCTAGAGAGAACAATCATGGGAGAAAGAAGGGCTGCTTATGCACAGGGAGACAGCTCAGGGGGCAGGAGTATATGGAGGGATGGACAAAGGGAAGAGGCAACTATGGGGAGGAAGTGGGAGGGGAGAAAAAAAAAAAAAAGACACAGGCTAGGACCCTACCCCAATAATCTCTGCAGTAAATGACAGTGGTTTGGACCAGAGTGGTAGCGGTAGAAAAGGAAAGAAGTGGTCACACTCTGGACACATTTGAAAGGTAAAGTTCATGTGGCTGTTGATGGGATGGATGTGAGGGTGAGGCAAAAAGAGATGAACTACAAAGTTTCTGGCGTGAGAGAGGAGAACAGGGCCATCGTTAGTGAGATAGGGAAGATGGTGGGCGCAGGGTTAGGAGTTGAAATCTAAGGTTCCGTTATGGGCAAGCTGAGATGCCTAGTGGGCATCCAAATGGTGATGTAAGCTGGCAGCTAGATCTACAAGTCTCACCATCTGTGCCAAAGACGTAGATGTGGGAGTCAGTATAATAAGTAGCTTTAAAAGCCATGAGACTTAGTGTATCAAGGAATAAGTATGTTTTAACTAGCCATTTTGCTGATCTATGTCTCTGTTTCCCACTTTCATAGAGGGGATAACACCAGACCTATGCCGTCACTGTTGTATTTAAGACATAGGTAATTCACTGATAGACAAACATCTGCACAAGTAAAAAGAGTGGAAAGAGCAGTCTGGGCAGAAAAACCTAAAGGAAATGGAATGGTGTGCTGGAGGGACAGTGACCAGATCAGCTGGACTGAGTCAATGCTTGTTCCATACAGACCAGAATAAACTAAAGGCTAAGGAGGATATGAAATTCTGATGTGACGATTTGTCAATCTGTCAAAAGTTATATTTTAAGAAATAAATTGACAAAGCATAGTATCTTAAAGAAGAAAAAAAGACAACAAAAACATCCTCAAAATGACAGGGTAATAATCAGGTTTAAGTTACATGATGTTATGTTAAAAAATCTTTACTTAGGTTGCATATAATTATCACTAGGCAGGTCCTGACAGAGACGAGCAGTTTGTTGGTTATCTACTAAATCTCACAAGCATCAACCTAGCACTAGAAGAGAAATCAATAACCCTTCCTGCTGATGATGCCCTCATTTCTCTATCCCTACTCTGGCAAATTTGAGAAGAGAGCAAGTGGTGTCTTGGGATTTCCATAAGAAAGTCCTTTAATCTCTGAGTCTTGCTTTCCTCTTCTACAAAAGAAGTTGGAGAAGCAAGGATTATCAAAGTCAAAGTAACCTGTGATGATCGAAAGACATCAACGTGTGAACACTCTCTACACATGGAAACAGCATATGAATTCATTGTAACTTGCTACTAAAACCAGCCAAACTCACTGCCCTCGAGTGGATTCCAACTCACAGTGACCCCCTTTGAGTTGCAAAGGTGGTAAATCTTTATGGAAGTAGACTGCCCAGTCTTCCTTCTGCGGAGTGGCTGGTGGGTTTGAACTCCCAGCCTTCTGGTTATCAGTCAAATGCCTTAGGCATTATGCCACCAGAGTGGCTGATATATGTTTTTTAATCAAACCAACAATGAGACCCCATGTGTACTATGAATCACAATAAAGAAAATGAGCCACTAAAAGGAAGAGATATTTCCATTTAACCCACGCAAACAGCCACCCAGGGACACCAGACACACATGGGGTTTGCTACATACTCAAAGTCTAATCAGATTGCACTGAGAAGAAAAAATATGAAAAATTATTTCATATTATTCATTATTATTTCATACTATTTCTTTGTTGATCTCAAAGTTAATATCACCTCTTACTTTTGATTTTCATGAAAATAATGAGACATTTTAAGACAGGTTCCCAGCCTTCAACCTTCCCACACATACACTGTTTAGCTGGCCTCCATTTCATTGCTGACAATCCTTGTAACGTGTTCTCCTAAGTTTTTGTTCATCAGTTTTATGTTGTTTGGTTTGCTTTCTCAAAATAGCATCAAGTTGTATAGCACAGCAACCTGAGCCATTTTCTAGAGAAGGCACTTAAAATCTATTCTTTCATTCAGCACAGTTAAGGAAAAAGAAATGGGTGCTCTCTGAGTTTGACAGTACTTTTGAGTGTGCTGTTGACTCTATTTATGGGCAAGCCTCAGATACAAAAAACACTGAAAAGGATTTTAAGTAAAATCTGAGTCAGGCTCATTTCCTAAGCACAGTTCTCTGCTTTGGTTAAGGTGAAAGCATGCACTGAGCATCTATTACAGTTCTTCCCAATGAGAGGAAAGTATTCTTACGTTAGTAACCTGTCAGCTAAGGTTAGCCAATTATTTCATCTATGGCTGTTTTCACCAAAAAGCATACACACAAACTAGAGGAAAACCAGAACCTGGTTATGTTGGCTGGATATCCCCAGACCAGAAACATATGATGTCAGAGACTTATGGTAGAAACACCAGTGAGGAGACAGCGGAAGAAGCCTAGAGAGGTACTGAGAGTTGACCCAAGCCTCTGGCAAGGGACTAGATTTTAGAAACAAGTAAGAGTCTCAGGGCATTGTGCACAGCTTTTCTTCCATTTGAAACTGCCTTTCTTACTATGGCCTGTCAATATCCTACCCATCCTTCCAGGCCCAGGAGCTCCAGTGGTTCAGTGGCTAAAGCATTTGGCTGATAACCAAAAGGTCAGTGGTCCACACCCACCAGCTTCTCAGCAGAAGAAAGATGAGGCAGTCTGCTTCCGTCAAGGTTTACAGTTTTGGAATTCGGAATCAACCTGATGGCAATGGGTTTCCAGGCCCAGGCCAGACCCTCTCTTCTACGAAACCATCCGTGAGTCTCACCAGTCAGAAATCACATCCCTTTCTACTGGGTTCCCAAGTCTTTGATTATATTGCTTATAAGAAGCCCCTTCCCCCTAATTCTGCTTCATAACTTTAAGTGTATAATATGGCTTATATCCCCATTCACCTTGAGTTAGTTCCTTGATGGTAAGAACTATGTATTAAGCATTGTTCTAGATATGAGAGAGGAGGGGGAGATACATCAGTCAGTCAGTCCAAGGGTGGCACAAATAGTTAAGAGCTCAGCTACTAACCAAAAAGGTTGGCAGTTCAAAACTACTCAGAGGCAACTTCAGAAAAGAGACCTGGTGATTTATTTCCAGAAGATCACAGCCACTGAAAAGGCTATGGAGTACAGTTCCATCATGAACCACAGGGGGTTAACATTTAGTCAGAATCAACTCAACGGCAATTGGCAAGCTAGATGGATAGAAAGAGAGACAGACAGACAGACAGACAGATAGATAAATAGATAGATAGTTTGATTTTCCCCAGAGATGAGGCAATTGAGACTAAGAGAGGTTATATAATAGGCCCAAGGACTCCCAGTTGTTCAACTCCAAAACCAAACCAAACTCACTGCCGTGGAGTCAGTTACAATTCATAGTGACCTGTTCTTGGGTTTCCGAGGTGGTATCACTACGGAATTAGATTGCCCAATCTTCTTTCCAAGAAGTGGCTGATGGGTTTGAACCAACAGCCTTATGGTTAGCAGTCAAATACCTTAGGCACTACGCCACCAGAGCTCCCAGTTGTTCAGCAAGAAAGTTAAATTTAAACCAAGTACATTTCATTTCATAGGAGCTCTGGTAGCATAGTGCCTACGGCACATGACTGCCAACCAGAAGGCTGGTGGTTCAAGCCCAGAAGGAAGGTTGGGCAATCTACTTCCATAGTGATACCGCCTCGGAAACCCAAGGAGGGGTCGCTATGAGTTGGGTCCGACTCAACGCCACATAACAAAAACAACAACAACAACATTTCATTTCATAGCCTTTGATCTCTCTTTCATATAACACTGTCTCAAGTAGTTACTGAAAAATATTTCTAAAATCAAGACAACACTAAAATAAACCAAGGCTTAAAGCCTTTTATATCCAAATACAGAAGTATTAATCAATTTAAACAGTTTAGTAAAGAAAGAAATTGAGACTCAACCCCAGATCTGTCTCACTCCAGGGCCTCAGATTTTAACCACTACCCTAAAGTATCTTAAGGAGCTCTGGTGGTGTAGTGCTGAAGGCATTTGACTGCTAACCCAAAGGCTGTTAGTTCAAACCCACCGGCTGCTCCTCAGAAGGAAGGCTGGGCAACCTACTTCTGTAGAGATACCACCTGGGAAACCCAAGGAGTGGTGGCTATGAGTCAGATCTGACTTCACAGCAGTAAGTGAAAGTAACTTAAGTTAGGTTTTTTCTGAGGTATGTTCTATGACTTACTATTATGCTACTTGGAATATGTAGCTGGCCTAAAGTAATGGTGCTAAATGTGAATTGTTACTTATCTCATTATTTTATTTCAGAAATGTGTTTAACTTAATGAACGTACACTTCCACGTGAAATGTTGTTGTCGGCTGCCACTGAATCAACTCCAACTCATGGCAACCCCGTGGACAACGGAATGAAATGCTGAAGAGGAGTCCTGCCTCCTCTTCATAACTGCTGATTTGCTTGAGTCCACTGTTGTGACCACTGTGTATCCTGAGGGTCTTACAACCTAGGAGGCTTATCCTCCAGTACTCCATCAGACAATATTCTGTTGTGCTCCATAAGATTTTCATTGGCTGATTTTGGAAGTAGATTGTCAGGTCCTTCTCCTTAGTCTGTCTTAGTCTGAAGTTTTGCTGAAACTTATCCACCATGAGTGACCCTGCTGGTATTTGAAATACTGGTGGCATAGCTTACAGCAAAAGCAAGCCACCAAAATATGATAAACTGACAAATGGTTACTTTAATTACAACCAGTATAATACATCTGTCATTACCGGTGTTAAGTGCCATCAATTGTGACTTGTAGTGACCCCATGTGACACAGAAGTGCCCCATAGGATTCTCTAGGCTGTAATCTTTACAGGAACAGACCATCAGGTCTTTCCAGCAGGGAGCCACTACATGCATTTGAACCACCAACCATTTGGTTTAACAGCTGAAAACTTAACCACTGCACTACCAGGGCTCCATATAATACATCTTAATTGTTACTAATAGATCCAAAAAGAGAAATATTGCTTATTTCTATTTGTCTTTTCCCCCTCTAGGGTTTTATTTTGGGGAAGAAGAAATTTATTAGGAGAAAACTTTGCTTCATTCATTCATTCATTCACACACTTAGAAAAAAAGGGCTGTAACACATAACAATTGGTACCATTTACCAAACCCCTGGCATGTTTTCATTTTAGATGTATTTTCTACAGTCTTTATAATAATCCCATATTACCCCATTTAGTAAGAAAGGAAACCAAGGCAAACTCCTGGATTTGCCCAGGTCTATTTCTCTTCAAAGGCCAAGCCTTTGTACCTACCAAAAATCAAAAAAACCAACGCCACTGCCATCAAGTTGATTCCAACTCATAGCAACCCTACAGGACAAAGGAGAACTGCTCCTGAGCGTTTCCAAGGCTATAAATCTTTACAGAAGTAGAGTGCCTCATCTCTCCCACAGAGTGGCTGGTAGGTTCAAACCATCGACCTTTTAGTTATCAGCCCAATGGTTTAAACACAGAACCACCTCCCTTCTGTACCTACAGTCCAAAATAATTCTAGGAAGTGCCTGTTCTCTTGTGGCTATCTCATGCCCATCTGTGATACATGTTGATCCCTTGCACAAAGAAAGTCTTACGCAGCATTTCAGACTGTGGTAAAACCTTTTGGAAACTATGTGATCTAACATCACCATTTTGCAGCAGAGACATCCGAGGCTAAGGTGGTAACATGGTGTATTCAATAACAATGCCTAGACTGGGCTCCACTTCTTTTCTGGAGATCCTCATTCCATGTCACTGTACCATTCAAAAAATAGGACAACAATCTACATTTCTAAAACATGAAACAACAAACAGAAAAATCTCTGTCATCAAGGCCAATGGATGGCCCAACTTATGGGGGCCCGAATCACACTGGGATCTATGCGAATTGAGGGTGGTGAAGCCCAGGAAAACTGTTCACATTACTGTCCAGTCCTCCCATCTGGCTTTGGTAAAGTCATCAGACCCTGGGGGAAGTGCTGGGCAGCAACCATTGTCCCAGCACCTGCCTTTCTCTAGAGATGTCCAAACGTGAGAGAACAGAAAGGCAGTGGGGAACTAGCTCCAAAAATGAGAGAACTCTAAATCCTATACCAGATGGAGCTGAACCTGATTCAGGCAAAGAAAATGCTTGAAATCTGTTTCTTCCACAGACTACCTTCATCAATCATCCAATTTCTAAAATAGTTCTTCCTTATAAACTTCCTCAATCAAGAGGCACCATGAAAAAGCCTAGAACCTAAAGTCACACATGTGGATTTGAACATGAACTGCAAGTGTTTAGGTGAGTCATTCAGTTTCCCTAAACCTCAGTTTTATGAATTATGAAGACAGAAACATCTAAGATGATGGAAAGTTGTAGTAAAAGATTTAATAAGCATACCCCTTTGCATGCATGTATGTGTGTGTGTGTGTGTGTGTGTGACAGAGAGAGTGAAAAATATTTAACATATGGTGGATTTTGAATAAATGGGTGTTATATATATTTTCTTTCCTCCCTCTTCTTATATAGTATATATACTATTTAATAAAAATCAAGCCATTACTGCTATCTGGATATCATCTCTGAAAACATATATCTCATTAAAAAATAACCCAGGAGAAAGAAATAAAAGTCCATTAAAGAACAAGTATTTTTTATCACATCCTCATAAAATGCTACTTATCTAATACAATCTATGATCTCCAAGGCACTGTTCGAGCAAAATTACTGTTTCTTCACAAAGCTGGTTTAGAGCCTTCAACATCATACCTTTTAAAGGCTGTCCTAGCATTTTCCACAAAGTATAAAAGAACAGTTGGATGTCCAGGCTGCACTGAACAGATCCTGTGGAGAGTCCTTTAGGGCTTATTATTCACTGATTTTTATAACCCACAGAAGGTAACACAGATGACAGCTTGCTAGCCCCTGAAGCCAAATAAACATCAGTATTTACCTTTTTTTTTTTTTTCTAAATTATACTCTCCTATCACGTATGTTCAGTTTTCATCAGCCACTTACCTATTTTATTTTAATCATAATAAACAGTTAAGCATTTTCTCTTGTCATTTTCTGACAAACCTCACAACATTTCTGAAAACAACAATCTCTCCCCCTAGTGAAATTTCACAGTATTAAAAAGAAATTTTAAGCCATTCCATTTTCTTCAAAAACTAAATTACTAGTCAAAAAATAGAGTAGAGGGGAAACTATAGATTAAAAAAGACCTAAGAAACATATTAAGATGATCAAAGTACAATGTACAAACCATATCTGAATTCTCATTCAATCAGACTGTCGAAAATATTTCTTAATGCAGTAATTAAAGAAATGTAAAAGCTTGTTGGAAAGATGATGATATTAAGGAATTTGAAGTCATCTTTTGGTGTGATAATGTGGTATTTTTTTTTATAAAAGAGTTTGTATCTTTTAGAGATATATACATAATAAAATATTTAGAAATGAAATAACATGCTGTCTAGTATCTGCTTCAGAAATAATTTGAGGAATGGGGAAAAGCAGAGGGCAGAAGTGTGGTAGTTAAATTTGTAGGTCAACATGCCTGGGCCTGGTTAAGTGGCTGGGCAGCTGGTGATCTCCCCATGATGAGACTGGCAATCCACTCAATGGTGGGATCTACTACAAGCAGTTGAGTAGCTGCCTTTGGGATGTGGTCTGCTTCCAGTATATATGGAGAAGCCTTGCTCTAGCTTATGGCATGCATGGACCCGTAGCCATGTTGTTGTTCAGAAGCCTGCCATGCTCTGCTGACCTTGGGACTTACAATAGACTTGAATTAATGGCCTGCCAGGTAGTTTGGTAATATCGAGACTATGCCATTTTATTTGTCAACCTGGGGGCTTGTTAGCCTCAGCAGACAGTAGCTGCCTGAGTGAAGAAAAGCCTCTAGCTTCAGTGGGCCAGGAGCAAGAGGCAGAGCTGAAGCCCAAGACAGAGGGGCTTTCACATAGCTCCTAGAGCCTGGCACTTGGAACTTGGACTTAAACCCTCCAAATTTTAAGAATAAACTCCTGTTTGTTAAGGCCATCCCATTTGTGGTATATTCTTATCAGAGCAGCACTAGGTAACCAGAACAAGAGGTACAGATAAAACAAGATCAACCACAAGTTGATAGCCTGGAGCATCACTGAGGATGAGTGATAGGTACATGAAGGTTCATTATACCACTTTACTTTTGTAAATTTTTGTAACTGCATTTAAAAATAGTTTAGGGTCTGGCTACCATTACTGAGCATTTCAATCAAAGATTCTAAAGAAAAATCCTGACCAAAAGGGGGAAAATGCAGCACAGAATTTTAAATTCTCATAGAATCCAGACTTTCTGGAGTCATGGAGGCTGGATGAACCCTCAAACCTAATGTCTTGAAGTAATCTTTAAACAAACCAAAAATATCCCCTGAAGCCTTCTTCAAATCAACCAACAGTCTAGCTTAATTAGTGAAGAATGCCTGCCTTGAGTGTTATGCTTTATTAAGAATTATCTATATGGGATCAAATTGACAACAGTAACTTGAAAGGTTAGGTAAGAAACTTATAGGGCAGTGAGTTTATGTTAAGGAGTGAGGAACAACTTGGAAAAGGAAAGTAAGAATGTCACTCAATTGCACATGTAGACATTGTTGAACTGGTGTGTGTTTTGCTGTGTATATTTTCAACTACAGTAAAGTAACTTTTTTAGAAAAGTTAGAAGTGAGCAAAACTTTGTAATATAAAACTAAAAAAGCATTCTACAAATGTCACTATCACATTAGGATTAAAAGAGTAGTATGCGTATGTGTGTGTGTAAACCCAGAACACTAGCTCAAAGTACTAAATAATGCTCGTAGCTCTTTTAAAATAAAATAAATTTAAAAAAAAAAAACAGTTCTAACAAAATTTGTAATTTAAACTAGCACTAGTTGATTTGAGAATTTGAAATTTAGAAGTAATTCACTTACCTTTTTTAAGGCACAAGCCTTTATAACTTTTTCATATCTTTCCTTTTCGTATTTCTTGCCAAATAGGATATTACTCCTCACAGTTCCTGAGAACACCCAGGGCTGTTGGGACACATAGGCAATTCTGCCTTGCACATTGACCAGCCCATGACTGGCGGGCAGTTCCCCCAGCACAGCACTTAACAGCGATGACTGAAACAGATTGGAGAAAAGCACATGTGTACCATGAACACTCAGGACAAGATAAGGCATTGTAATACAGCCTTCCCCAGCCCTGCAAGCTTGAAATACATTAGAGCCCTTTAGCGTAAAACAGGAAAAGTGACAGCACTGAAAGTCACAATAAGAAACAGAAGTAGCACTACTGGTAAACCAACATTTGATAAAGAATAATAACCAAACAAGAGCTTAACCATCTACTCTGTCCCTAAGAGTTTCCCCCAAAATGAAATGCCATTATTGAACAAGTACTAAGAATGTTGGCAGGAGCTCTGGTAGCGTAGTGCCTAAGGCACTTGACTACTAACCAGAAGGCTGGTGGTTCAAACCCACCAGCCACTTCTTGGAAGGAAGGTTGGGCAATCTACTTCCATAGTGATACCACCTTGTAAACCCAAGGAAGGGTCAGTATGAGTCAGGTCTGACTCCATGGCACATAACAACAAGAAGAATGTTGGCAGCAACTAACAAAAAAAAATACTGCTTTTGAGTCAATTCCAACTTATAGTGAGCCCCCCAACCGGGTGTCCAAGACTATAAATTTAACAGAAGTAGATTGCCTCATCTTCTTCCCATGGAGCAACTGGTGGGTTTGAACCACTGACCTTCTGGTATCATCCAAATGCCTCACCCACTGTACCACCAGCGCTCCTTAGCATCAACCTAGTAAACTGTATTTCATATATGGATATGCATCCCGGTATCCTTTTGACAAAGTACCTGTTCCTGAAAAGCTCCGTGTACTTGTTACTGAAAAGCTATGTGTAAATAATGCATTAACTGCACTAGGAAAGATCGTTATTTAAAGGAACTCTGAAGTAACTCATGATTCCAAGAGAAAAAAAAATCATTGTAAAGGAAATAAACACCCTCCTGCATATACAGTCTATATTTAGATTTCTGTATTTTGTTGGTTTAGAATGCCTAAGACTGTGAAGGAGCACATTTCCACATTTCCAAGGACTCCATTACAACATACACATGTGATGCACCTGTGCATACCCCTCAGTGCTTAGCACACTGAACTGAAATAATCTGTTTGTGAATCTGTCTCCCCCAGAACCTGGGAGTTCCTTAAGGGCAAAGGTGTCTTGCTTATATTTGTGTCTTTCGCTCCCTAATTGTGTGTTGATGTTAGTTGGATAAGTCACATGAGGAAATGTATAAGGCCTTCCAGAAGAGCCTTGATAACTTCCAGTCTTCCTGTAGCGCCTCAGGTGAACTCTGACAAAAACAAGTTCCTGCCTTCTCAGTTATTCTATCCCTGAGTAGTGGTAACAAAAACAATTTCCTTCACTGAGATGTCTAACCAGTAGACAGGGTTTCCCAACTATGCAGCCTGGAGCAACAAGAAGGAAAATATAACATGAATGCCCAGACTTATTTGGCCATATAATGGTTTAAAAAAAAAAAAAAAAAAGTGATTTGGTAAGGAAACTTTCTTTGTTGGTTACCAGGGGTTGGAGGGGAGGGGAGGAAACACTGCAAAAATAAAAAAATAAAAATTATTTTTAAAAAAAGTGATTTGGGTGAAAGTTTACAGAGAAAATTGGTTTTCCATATAAATTTATACAAATTTCATTTTGTGACATTCATGGCAATCACCATAAATGGAACAGCACTCTTCCCACTTCCTCCCTGTGTTAAGCATTTCCCTTTGTCCTTTCCTATCTCTTTCTACCTTCTTAGCTTTGTTGTTGTTGGTATGTGCCATCGAGTAGGACCCAACTCACAGCGACCCCTCCTTGGGTTGCCTTGACAGAAGTAAATTGCCCCATCTTCCTTCTGAGGAGTGGCTGGTGGGTTTGAACTGCCAGCCTTCTGGTTAGCAGTCAAATGCCTTTAGCCACTATGCTACCAGAGCTCCTCCTTCTTAGCTTTATCCCTGGGCAAATGCTGCCCTTTTGATCTCATATGGTTGATTGTTCTAATGAGTGCATACCTCCACCATGCCACTGTTCACTTAAAAGCCTATCATTTGGTTGAAAGTTGAACCATGGGGATGAGTTAGTTCCAGGCCTGAAGGGTGTTTAAGGGCCACAGCCTTAGAGGTCCCACTAGTCGCTATCACACCAGTATGCCTGGTCATTTTTGATAATTTTGAGTTTTGTTCCACATTTTTTCCCATCCAGGACCTCCTACTGTGATCCCCTTCAGAGGAGTCAGCAGTGGTAGCTGGGCACCATCTAGTTCTTCTGGTCTCAAGGTTGTGGAGGCTGGGGCTCATGTGGGCCATTAGTCCTCAGGAGTAATTATTTTCTCATGTCTTTGTTGGCTGTGTAATCTTATTGCAAAACTCCTATTCCACAGAACCCACTTTGGGAAATACCGTTACTGTTTTAAACACAACTTGGACTCAAACCCAATTTGAATTTAATATGGGATGAGATGTCATAGCAAGCTGCCAAATGGCATTTAACTTACCTTTCCTGCTCCCACAGGTCCAATCACAGCTAACAATTCACGAGGTCTGACAGTGAAGGAAAGGCCTTGTAGGGTTGGGGTTTCTGATGCCTACAAACGAAAGTTTCCAAAAAGGTGCTCATGTCAAAAAAGTAAAACAAAGCATTTCAAAAATAGAGAAAATAACACAATAGTCATCGATACATAAATGCACCTCACATCTTTTTCCATCTACCTTACGAAATTGTCTTCTGGAGCCCCCTTTTAATTCAATCCAATTTCTTTGTGGGGTTTGAACTACTGTTCTCAGAAAATCCCATTCTTGTACCAGATTCTCAAATCAACACCACTCTACATATCCACAAAATTTACGTAATAAAAATGACAAGCTCACCTTCTTAAAATGAGAATTTCTTGGTACACATAAAATTACTCAAAAACACATTCTTAAAAAGAATATTCTATATGAAAGGTTTTAATAATTACTAAGTTTTCATTTGGGAGCTCTCGTAGCATAATGCCTAAGGTGCCTGACTGTTAACCAGAAGGCTGGCAGTTCAAACCCACCAGCCACTCCTTGGAAAGAAAATGGGGCAATCTACTTCCGTAGTGATACTGCCTTGGAAACCCAAGGAGGGGTTGCTATGAGTCGGGTCCGACTCGATGGCAAATAACAACAATACAAGTTTTCATTTAAGCCTGGACTTTTATCTATTTTAATAATCTCCACAAGGTGGCAGCATAAATACAAGGCATGCCTGGCCCTTTACTGTCATTACAAGATTTGAAATCTCTAATATCGCTCCAAAAACCAAACTCAGGAACTCTGGTGGCATAGTGCCTAAGGCACTTGACTGCTAACCAGAAGGTTGGCGGTTCAAACCCACTCCTCGGAAGGAAGGTTGGGCAATCTACTTCCATAGTGATACCGCCTCGGAAACCCAAGGAGGGGTCGCTATCAGTTAGATCTAACTCAACAACAATGGGTTTTTAATCTCTCTCCATTTTTACTTGGTAAAGAATCAATCTCAGTATTGCTCAAGCAGAAGAAAACACTTCACATTATAAAGTCACTGTTGGTAAACAAACTCGTGTAATGGTTAAATGATGTAACATTTAACAACAAACCAGGAATAAATAAATTAAACATTATATCCTGTCAAAGCGACACAGCCTCCATTTCACACCTGTACCATACATTTCCTATCCTTGATAAGCAAGAACAGCAAAGTACTTCTACTATAAAAGAAAAGTCTGGCATCATACGCTGTAACAGACTATCCAACAGAAGGGCTAAACACACAAAGGCTAAAGCACTCCTTCTGCTACCCAGAAAGCATATTCCTGAACAAGCCATATGTTTTAAGACAAAGAGATTTTTAAATGTTTGCATGGAATTTTAGGGTTTTCTCAACTGAGGATCTGATTACAAACTGGTGAAAAAGCTAATGTTTTTTATACGGATCAAAGGTCAAGAAAATTCTCAGTGCTAATGTTAAAAAAAAAAATCATAATTAATTAAATTTAGGGTGTAGTGTACATGTGTCTGTTTTTTTTTTTTTTTTTTTAGTTTCTCCATCGTTTATTCTGTAAAAGACCAAACCAGATTAACTGCCTCTACATAGAAACTTCAAATATTAGAAAATCAATTGGGAAGATTTAAAGGGGGGTGGAAGGAGGACTTAGTAGAGCATGTGGACCAAAATGAGGTTTTTCTTTTCCCATTCAACCACCACCTATACTTTGAATCATCAATTATTTTAAGCAAATGTCAGACAGCATAAATAAAGCAAAAGGACGGTTTTAAACTAAGAGTACAGAATTTCAGGAGTCCTGTTTGCCAAACATAGTAACTTTCATCTAAACCCAGATGTCAAAACTATGAGAAGATAGTAACCATTGAAACTGAAGGAAAAATAGCTGCTATTTGGGGACAATCCTGAGTGGGCTTTATTACATCCATAATTATGATTTCTATCTGTATCTCCAACAGGTGGGAACAGGTATTAGCCGATTGGGTGAAAAGCAGATCCCCTTATCCCAGACCTTCTGTAAGCCTTGGCCATGTGTGCCTGTCGTTGAGACATCTACCAAACTTGAGCCCAAAATTCTTTTCTAAATGAACTACTAAGGAGCTAATGTTCTATAAAACCCATTTTGGGAAATGCTCTTCTATGTTACAGAAAAATGATAAAGTTAAACAAAGGCACTGCCACCTTCTATGATGTTTAATTTCTTTATTCCCCGTTTGTTGGATTCTAGAATACCTCAACGGTGGAGAAATGCACTCATATACCACTCAGGAGAACACCCCTGCAACTCTGAGACAGCAAAGGGGAGAGGCTGGGGAAGAAGCAAACCCACTGATAAACTAAAGAAGCTTATTTTGATCAGCTGAGCTAATAATCCTTCCCACAAACACACATCATGCTTGGTAAAGTGAAGGGTCAGCAAAAAAGGGGAAGGCCCTCAATGAGATAGACTGACACAATGGCTGCAACGATGGGCTCAGGTACAGCAAGGATTATGAGTCTGGCACAGGACTCGGCAGTTTTTCATTCTGTTGTACACAGGGTCGCTATGGGTCAGAGCTGACTCGACAGCACCTAACAACAACAACACAAACACATGCAAATTTAAACTTTCTTGATATAAGTGCTACAACCTCGCTCTACATGACCAGTGGAATACGTGTGATTAGTAAAATGTCTGAATGATCTTCAAAATAAAAAGCTCCTCCAGAAATAACTGAATTGATTATAAAACAGTCACTTACTATTATTTTTAATTGCAAACTACCCAGAATTACATAAACTATCAAGGATCCTTGGTAGCACAGTGGTTAAGTGCCCAGCTGCTAACAGAAAGGTCTGTGGCTTGAACCCACTAGCTGCTCTGCGGGAGAAAGATAGAGCAGTTTGTTGCTGTGAAGATTACAGCCTAGGGAACTCTATGGGGCATTTCTACTCTATAGAGGGCCAATAAGGGTCACTCAGAGTCAGAATTGATCAACAGCACAGAGCAACAACATATAAACTATCAATAAAAACTGGACTTTGATATGTGAGAAACATTTTTTTCAAGTTTCTCCACTCCTTCCTAGATACCTAAAAACTACTGCCTACTTTAATAGTTTTTATTAAGCTATGACTAAACAACGATGAGCCACAAACAAAAATCAATTTCTTATCATTGCACATGACAGTTTCTTGTTAGGGCCAGATGGGTAGGTTCCTTCCCTGACAGTAGCCTTCAGGTTGGGAGTACTGCTTTAATGTCACCACAAGAGGGCAGCATTCAACAGCTGAGGGGTTCATGGCCCTTCCTCTGCCAGTTATCCCTCTATGCAGACCCAAGGGACAGATAGAGGGACAAGCCCACTGACAAAACAAGTATTGACCAGAATCTAATCTGTGCCAGACATCATTTTAGGCCCTGGGGTTTCAGAAGTGAAGTGAACAAAACTGACAAAAATCCCTGCCTAAACGGAGTTTAGGAGCTCCCGTAGCATAGTGCCTAAGCCTTATGACTGCTAACCAGAAGGCTGACGGTTCGAAACCACCAGCCACTCTGTGGAAGGAAGACTGGGCAATCTATTTCCTTAAAGATTACCACCTCAGAAACCCAAAGGGGGTCGCTGTGAGTCAGAATCAATTCGATGGCAGTATATTTGGTTTGTTTGTGTTTTTTTTTTAAATGGAGCTTAAAGGTCCCCACAAGATCATACCCTTTAAAGCTTAGCAGCTAAGACCAACTCCATTCTTTTTATAAATGAGACCCAGGTTAATGATAAAACTTTCCCCAAAATATTCACTGACTATCCAATAGAACTGGTGACGAATCCATGCCTCAGCCTAGCGTGTTCCTCAATCTCCCTCAGCTACTCTCCAAACCCAAATGCCTGCACCCTACTCCCACCCAATGATGCATCCACTACTAACTATACCCTAAGGTCATAACCACTCCATAGACAAGGCCAAGAAAACAGAATGGGGCACACTCTGTAGTACTGTATAAGATTTAAAAAAAAAAAAAAAAAAAAAGTATAGTAGCATGAAGTTCTCAGGGGTGGGGGAAACTAAACAGTTCATTTTACAGTGTTGTATAGCTTAGTACAAAGAAATTTAGTAATGAGTCATGCAATGTGTGCATTAGCTAGTTCAGTGCTTTATCTAACACAATGGCATTCACATAGAGTGTGCTCTTTAATGTAACTTTAATGGTGCTTTCTACATATCCTTTAAGTTTATTAAGGACCTCTGGCGGCACAGTGGTTAAAGCATATGGCTGCTAACCGAAAGGTCGGCAGTTTGAACCTAACAAGCCATTCCATGAGAGAAAGATGAGGCAATCTGCTTCTGTAAAGATTTACAGCCTTGCAAACACTAGGGGCAGTTCTACTCTGTTCCACAGGGTTGTTACGAGTAAGAATTGACTTGATGGCAGTGGGTTTAGTTTTGGTTTTTTGAATTTATTATGTCAATCAGGAAAAAAATCTATATTAAAAGGGAGAAGTTGTTAGGTTAGGTAACATATTTTATACGAGTTACATACATTTAGGGATACACTATTGTTCTCTTGGTTGGGATCCAAATCTAAACCCACTGCCATCCAGTTGATTCTGACATAGTGACCCCCACTGGGTTTCCCACGTGGTAAATCTTTACGGAAGTAGATTTCCCCATCTTCCTTCTGTGGAGCGGTTGGTTGGTTTGAACCACCAACCTTCTGGTTAGCAGTCAAATGTCTTAGGCACCATGCCATCAGAGCTCCTATTGGTTGGGATGTTGTTATGTGCTATCAAGTCAGACCCAACTCATAGCGACCCCTCCTTGGGTTTCCAAGGCATTATTACTATGGAAGTAGATTGTCCAACCTTCCTTCCAATGAGTGGCTGGTGAGTTTGAACTGCCAGCTTTCCTGTTAGCAGTCAAGTGCCTTAGGCACATAGCAGGCATTAAGTCAGAACTAGGCAAACATGATGCAGGTAGTACAATATTTAGAGTCACAGGATGAAAAGAAAGGAAGGGTCTATAGAGTTTCAAAGGAGCCCTGGTGGCACAATGGTTAAGCATTTGGCTGCTAACTGAAAGGTTGGCAGTTCAAATCCACCAGCTGATCCATTGGAGAAAAGACCTGGCTATTTGCTCCTGGAAACATTAGACTGTATGAAACACTATGGGGTAGTTCTGGGGATTTGAGGGCACACAAGTTTCAACATCTGCTCCACCAACATTCCCACCACTAGGGGGAACCACAGTGGGATGGAAAAGTATATTGGTGAAAGGCCAGTTTGCTCTCGGCAGTATTCTCCATCCTTCCCCTGCATGTTCCATCTCAGAATCTCTGGGAGTTGGCTCCTGGAAACCACATTTCCCAGACCCCCTTGTCACCTCAAGTTCGGCCATGGAGAGAGAGACTACTAGTCTGAGACTGGGAAGCATGAGAGCTGTCAAGGCTGGTATCACCAGTACTTCTCACCTGCTTCAAGCAGCCTCTGCCACAGTGGCTATATCAGCTCCACACTCCCAGTGCCCAACTCATGCCTGTAACCCTGGCTCTTGGGTTCTGCTCCCACCAGGCAGTCCTCTGGTAGATATCACCTCTTCCCCATGTCCCTGCATTCCCAGAGGCAGCAGCAGCTTCCTGCTGTTGCTAATCTCTGGTTGCCTCACTAAGTATTATTCCCTGCATGACATTCACTCTCCTGAACTATATGGTGTGAGTCTCATTTTCTTGACTAGACCATACTGAGACAGGAAAGTTTGTGCATAAGGCCACAGAGTCAGGTGAGGAAAGAATTTTAGTTATGGGCTCAGGAGATGTTCAATCTACAAGCCTGAGAACTTCTTGAGAGAGGAGAATCTGTTGTTTTCCCGTTTGCCTAAAGCAAATTTACTGCTATCTAGTTAATTCCAACTCACAGTGACCCCCTATTGGGTCTCCAAGGCTGTAAATCTTTAAGGAAGCAGATTGCCTCATTCTTCTTCTATGGAGCCACCGACCTTTTTGGCTAGCAGTCAAATGTCTTAAGCACTGGACCGCCAAAGCCCCTTATAGAAAATACTTGTTGCTCCATATATTCTACCTGCCAGCTTGCCACACAACGAAATCTTTGACTTGGGAATTGATGGGGCATGCTCTGCCAGCTGCTGCCTTCTTGCTGTCCATGGCCACTATCAAAGAAGGTAGCACCATCCGCAGGGTGAGCTCCAACCCCACCTCGTAGCAAAATTTCAAATCAGGAGGGCCTTTCTCAATATATATTAACACGGTCTAGTAACATCAAGGTAAAAACCGTTTCCCCAAAGCCTCTCATCTGTAACACTTTATAACTGTATTTATTGCTTAACCCAGTCAATGCAATCCTTTCTATCTAATCCTGTAAATTCTAACAAATGCCTAAATTTATGTACATTAACTTCAAAATAAGGTAACAATTTGCAAGCTGTTTTGAAGACAAGTGAAAAATTTGCCAAACTCCTTCAGTTAATCTCTATTAACCGAACCCTTTATTTCTAATTTTGAGAATTTTTATAGCATACTTTCATTAAATAAGCAAGTCACATTTTATGCCATACGTACTCAAAATTCTACACTGAATCAATGTCATCAGTTGTCTTTTAGCCATAATCTTGTAACGGAGATTTTGTTACCTTATCCCAAAAAGCAGTAAAATCTTGCACATGCACTATCGTTTTACCATCTGATGGCAGCTGAGTATTGCGCTGTGATATCTCGTCAAGTAACAAAAAGTTCTAAAGAGAAGGGAAAAATAAAGATCACTTAATACTGCAGAAATAAAAGCACCAACAAAAATAACTGGTTTCCTGGAATTTGCAATGTATAAAACTTTATACAGCCTCATTATCGTTGTATGTGTTTAAGGTGTTGGTTCGCATCAGAACATGGAGACAGACAGAGAGATATAGGGATAGAGATACACACACACAAACACACATACATATCCACATACACATATATGCATAGACATACACATGAGAGTGAATGAGTTAGTGGCCATAAGGCAACAATTTGTCTTTCTCAGTGAGTGTGCCGGTTTCTCCCTATTATATTGCTCCCAACTTGTACATATTTAGAACCTGGACACTTTTTATTGTTTTATTTTTCTGTTATAAACAATAAACATGGACAGTGGCAAGCAGTGATTCAGTAAATATTTATTAAATCTCCACTGGGGACACAAAGATGAAGATGATTCCCAGGCCTTCAGAAACTGCCGCTGGTACAGAACAAGAAGTGACCCGAAGCTCTGCCTGTCTATATTCTGTGCCCTCAGGTGGAACACTTACGTTCATTCTGCTTCTCTTACTCTGCATGTCAAATCACCACACATCTGTCAGTTTGTCATAATGTGGGGGCTTACATGTGGCTGTGATTCTGGAAGGTAGACCACCAGTATTTACCCGTGGTGGCTAGGTTTCAGAGGCGCTTCCAGATTGAGAGAGACTAGGAAGAAAGCCCTGACCATCTACTTCCAAAAATCTGCCAATGAAAACCCTATCGATCAAAGCAGAACGTTATTCAACTCATTTGCTGTGGTGGTTGAGTTTGTCTGTCAACTTGGCTGGGCCTGGTTGAGTGGCTGGGCAGCTGGATATAGTATTCCCCATGATGGGACTGGTAATCAACTCCATGACAGAATCTACTGTGAGCAGCTGAGTAGCTGCCTTTGGGTATGTGCTCTGCTTCCCGTATGTAAGAAACAGCTTTGGGAATGGTCTCTAGTTTATGGCAAGCTTGTACCCTGCATATAGCCGTATCATTCTTCAGCAGACTGCCATGCATTGCTGACCCTGCGACTTTCAATGGACTTGAATGAATGGCCTGCCATGTGGTATGGTAACATCTTGTTACTTGTCAACCTTCGGCTTGGCAGCCTCACAGCCAGCAGCTATCTGAATAAAGAAAAGCCTCGAGCTTCAGTGGGCCAGGAGCAGGAGGCAAAGCTGAAGCCCAAGGCTGAGGAGCTTTCTCCCAGCCCCTAGAACCTGACACTTCGAACTCAGATTTCTAGCCTCCCAAACTGCAAGAGAATAAACTCCTGTTTGTTAAGGCTATCCCATCTGTGGTTAATATTCCTGTCAGAGTGGCATTAGGTAACCAGAACACTTACTCTGGACATGTCATCAGGAGGAATCAATCACTGGAAAACAAAATCATATTTGGTGACACAGAGGGCCAATGAGAGCAAGGGGGACCCTGAGTGAGATGGATCCAAACAATAGCTTCAATGATGGCCTCAAACATGCCCCAGGTCATGATGACGACACAGGGCCAGCGTTTCGTCCTTTTGTATGGAAGGTCAACTTGAGTCAACTCAACAGCAGCTGTTGAGATAGTTAACTATGTATTTAGTGTGTGAGTGAGGACATTAAGGTTCACTGTGCTCTTCTCCTGTATTTCAAATCAATCCTTGTCAAAAATGATCATTTACGTTATCATTCTAAAAAAAAATAAAATGTCCTTAGTTCTGATGGCATAGTTACTAAGGCATCTAACTGCTAACCAGAAGGCTGGCGGTACAAACCCACCAGCCACTCCTCGGAAGGAAGACTGGGCAATCTACTTCTGTAGAGATACCACTTCAAAAACCCAAGGAGTGGTTGTTATGAGTCGAAGACAACTAGACAGCAGTGAGTGAGTTTTTTTTAATTGAGTTTCTATCTCTTAAAATATTTATAAGTATCCATTCACAATCACTTGTCTTTCCTCCTTACTTCTTTCCCTCACCTCAACAGCAAGAATGGCTATACCTTCTATTTCTTGATATTTTCCACACTAATCTACAGCCATTCAATAAATACTATTCAGTGGTATAAAACAAAGTCTTGCTAACCATTTCAAAACTAACATAGTGATATATAGGAAAACTCCCTCTTGCACAAGTGCTAGACATCATGCAATGAGATAAGCTATAGTAGTATAAAAATTTAATAAACAGTCCATTCCACCACCACTCCAGATATTTGATCACATAGCAGAGACCTTTGGCTCTCTTAAAAATCTGCTCTATTTCTTCTGTGGTAACAAAAACCCTCATTTTTAGTTGGGCACATTGCAGCTTGGGAAGACTACTTTTCTCAGCCTCCCATTCACCTAGGTGTAGCCAGGTCACCAAGTTCAGGCCAATGGAAACTGAAATTTTCCAGGAAACTTCCTCCATACTGCTATAATGGCTTTGGATGCTGTCATTATGGTGAATGACACATACAAAGGAGTACTAAGACAGGAAGAGTCTAGGTTCCTAATACCACGGGACGTCATACTAGCTATGGAGCTCTATGGAGCTAGGAGCTCTGGTAGTATAGTGTCTAAGGCATGTGACTGCTAACCAGAAGGCTGGCAGTTCAAACCCACCACCCACTCCTTGGAAGGAAGATTAGGCAATCCACTTCTGTAGAGATACCACCATGGAAATCCAAGGAAGGGTTGCTATGAGTTGGATTCAACTAGATGGCAGTGAGTTTGGTTTTTTGTTTTTTGGGTTTTTTTTTTGGGGGGGGGGGGTATGGAGCACTGTAAGAATTTTTGCACAAGAGAAAAATAAACTACCATTTGTAAGTGGCTAAAGCTCGGGTAGCCTACAACCTAAAGGCAAAACTATTCTTGCTGTTTGCTGCCATCGAATCAGCTCCAACTCACAGACAACAGAACAAAATGTTGCCCAGTCCTACACTATTTTCATAAACATTGGTATGCTCAAATCCATTGCTGTGGTCATAGTGTATCTTGAGACTCATCTGACAGCACTATGCTGGGTAATATTCTGTTGTGATCCACAGGGTTTTCATTGGCTAATTTTAAGAAGTAGACTGCCAGGCCTTTCTTCCTCACCAGTCTTGGTCAGGAATCTCCACTGAAACCTGTCCACTGTAGGTGACCCCACCAACATTTGAAATACCAGTGGCATAGCTTCCACCATCATAGCAATATACAAGCCACCACATTAAAACAAACTGACAGACAAAACTAATTCTAACAAAGAAAATAAGTGAAATAAGCATGTAAAAAGATTTAAGAGAAAACAACATATAAATAAGTCATCTATTGCTCTGAAAACTGTAAACATCTTTTGCAAACCCAAAACCAAATCCATACTTATTGAGTCAATTTCGATTCACAGCGACCCTATAGGGTGGGTTTCCAAGGCTGTAAATCTTTATGGAAGAAGAATGCCACATCTTCCTCCCAATGAGCAGCTGGTAGGTTCAAAGCACCAACTTTCTAGTTAGCAGCAGAGCACTTTAACCACTGTGCAACCAGGGCTCCTAACCCTCCTTTCAGTCCTTAAAAATCCTTTAAGTTCTTAAAATTCTTGTCTAACACTTGACAAAGCATAAAATTTTACTCCAACTTTCTATATCAAAAGTTGTTGTTGTTGTTGTTGTTATGTGCCATCAAGTCGGACCCGACTCATAGTGACCCCTCCTTGGGTTTCCAAGGCAGTATCACTATGGAAGTAGATTGCCCAACCTTCCTTCTGAGGAGTGGCTGGTGGGTTTGAACAGCCAGCCCTCTGGTTAGCAGTGAAGTGCCTTAGGCACTACACTACCAGAACTCCTTATCAAAAGAATAGCTCATAAAATGTGAAAATGAAAATTACTTCTGGGTAGGAAAATTGTGAACAGAACATCCACTTGTTTCTATGTATTTCTCCCAAACACCCTGCTAGTAGCTATTCATCCCTTCTTTCACTTATCCATCCACCCAACCTTATTGAGAACCTATGCGGGATTGGGCATCATGATTTCCACCTGCCACCAAGGCCATGTCTAGCAAGGAGGTGCAATGTGCAGACAGAAACTAGTCTGATGATACTTCTACAGGTTTTAAACCCACAGCTTCTCTGATTTCACTCTCCATTCCACCTCCATCTCTTTCATAGCCAACTAGGTACCAAGTCTTACCTATTTCTTGCCTGTTTTGCCACAATTCACCTCTCTCCAATTCTTCAGTCCTCCTGAAACAACCCAATTTTACAATCTCACTTACTACTTACTGCATGCTTGAAATACTGACATAATTTTTCATGGGTCTCCCTATACTTCCTGGTACATTCCCAGCACTCCCCAGTACCACTAAACCTACCCCAAACACCACTCCTTAATGATTATCTTAAATCACCTCTGATAAAGTCCACCATTCTCAAAGCCCTTCAGTGATCTATCAACATCTAAATCCATACACCCAAATGGCATTTCCCTTCATCCTCTCTGTCCTTGGAAACTCACCTCAAATGCTAATCCTACTGGGAACCAGTTTAGGATGCTCCCAGCTGGTCCTGACCTCTCCACCTCTGAACCCCCACAGGGCTATGCAGAAGATAGAGACTATGCCATTCATACATTATTTATACTTGCACATAAATATAGTCCCAATGCTAGTAACACAATGCCTCACACAGAAGCAACACATCACAGATATATGTTAAAGGGACAAACAGATTATATATCTGGTTTAATCAAATCATTAACCACATTGCTACAGCCTCACAAAGTATGAGCTAGCACAGCAGCAAACTACAAGTTACATGTTATAATTCTTACCTAAACAGAATAAAATTCTGATTTTGGCTTCAGTATATTACCAAGACATAAAATTCAATATTCAGTGATGCATATTATAATGCCAATTACCTAACTTCCCTCTTAAAGAAAAAAAAAAACAACTATAAAGTAAGGAATTAAATCTATTGAGCATCTGTCCATTAACAACAGGTCTGAGTGGAAAAGAC